ACTAAGAGGAAGAGAGTTTCAAAACCACCTCTAGGTCTCAGGATCAGTGAACTCAGCCCCACTCCCTGAGACAGCAAACACGGGCCTGGGTGGGTGAAGGTCAGGAGCTCCCTCCGGACGGATGTGTTGTATTTGAGGAGCCACGTGGGGATGGAGATACACAGTTGGATACACAGCCTGGAGCTCAGACGGGAGGTCTGGGAAGGAAATGTCAATATGGGAGTTATTGGCATATAAATGGATAAGATTTCTTCAATAAAAGTTAGAAAATGAGAAGAAAAGGTGGTCTAGGGCTTGAGCTTTGAGAAGTGTTAGCAGGTCACAGCCATCTGTAGGAATCTCTGGGAGGGAGACCCTGGAGGCAGAGGAAAACCAGGAGACTGACAGCAAGGGAAGCAAGTGTGTCGAGAAGGGGCAGATGGAGTAAAAGGAGGACTCGGAGGGTCCCGGGAGCATCAGACGGCTGTGGTGGGTGGAGGGGAAGGTCAGATTAGAAGTGAGTGGATGGACAAGAGAGAGAGAGAGAGACAGCGAGTACATCAAGCTCCCGAGAAGTTCAGCCGTGGGGAGATGGTGGGAGAAGGTCAGCCGTGGGGAGACGGTGGGAGAAGGTCAGCCGTGGGGAGACGGTGGGAGAAGGTCAGCCGTGGGGAGACGGTGGGAGAAGGTCAGCCGTGGGGAGACGGTGGGAGAAGGTCAGCCGTGGGGAGACGGTGGGAGAAGGTCAGCCGTGGGGAGACGGTGGGAGAAGGTCAGCCGTGGGGAGACGGTGGGAGAAGGTCAGCCGTGGGGAGACGGTGGGAGAAGGTCAGCTGTGGAGAGAGACGATGGGAGAAGGTCAGCTGTGGGGAGACGGGTGGAGAGAGATGGCAGTAACCAGAGGGGAAATGAAGTCCAGGGAAGGTGCTGTTGTCATTGTTTTTAACGGGAGAGACTTGAGTTTAAATGTCAGTATTACGTGAGTAAATGAATATCCTGGAATTTCATTATATCATCTGTCCTGAAAACTCCAGGGCTTTGAAGTTAAAACAACTAATGATACTGAAGTATTAAATTATTAATGAGATTATAGCCAAGTCACAACACTGTGAGTCCTTAGACCAGGGGTGGGCAACCTTTTTGTGAGTGCATGCCAAAACCAGCAAAATCTCTGACTCAAAATTCTTCTGCGTGCCAACCCTAATTTTTGGAGAACATGTTACGCCTACTTGATATCTCTTAAGGTGTACATATGTGAAGAACCTTGGAGAAATAATAAAATTCATTCGAGTGACAAAAACACAGTATATGATGATGAAAAATACATTTATTTTTTAATGTATACATGTACACTGATAGTCCGACAGAAAACTTCATGACTCTGTTTGATATTATCAGTGGGACTTTTGCTGCTGCATCACTGATTACAGAAATTTTACATCAGGTTTATATTT